TTCCCCAGCGAAGAAGTACGACCCCCCCCCCTATGTGTTCCACGCAACAATGATGTACCCTGGGTGGTACAGGTGCTAATACATACTCTCCTTGAACCAATCTTCAGGCTCCTAACCAATGCTAGGCCCGGTCGAGAAGAGGCAATCCGAGGTTCAACTGTCGGACCGTGATAGTGGTAAACTGTTCTACTTAGCGCCGCACCACCTCTGCCCCTGGAAGGGAATTCATTGAGGCACAGGCAGTGCTTACGCAGGATGCAGCTCGATTACAGTGTTTGCAAAATATGTCACGATAACTGAGAGCCCCAGAATTACGAGTTGACAGGAGCAAGCGTTGCAGATTACCACTTTACGATAATTGCGGCCAGGTGAAACTAGTAATTTAACAGGAGCAAATCCTCAGGCTAAAATTTAGAAAAAATTATAGAAAAGAGGAGCATCAGGGCTGACCAAGGAAATACGAGGAATAGCCAAAGAAGCAACCTCGTATTTGGCAAAAACTCGTCGATGCTAATCCAATGAAGAATGTGTGGGTGCAACCAATTTTTTTCATTAGGACTACTTTTAACTACGCCAAAAATAGACACATGGGAGTTCATCCCATTTCAAAAGGAACGACTATGGGGTGCCAATCATTTCGTTTAGAGCTTTAGTGAAATGGGATGAGCTTTTTGAAGTTGTATTCCCAAAGCTATCAAGAAAGATGATCCGCTAGAGGCTTTGTGCATCTCTAAGGCGATGACTAATGGGTCCCAAAGCTCGCCAAAAAGTGTGAGCCATTTTGGCGAAGCCTCTACAAGCTCACAGCAAGATGTCATAAGGACTATGTTGCCGCTTCTCCGACATTGTCGGTTACTAAAACTTCGAAAAAAGTAGAGCTAGGCCCATTTAAGCACCCAAACAATCTTCAGACTAGGTGTTTTCATGACGGCCAATGCTGTCCGAGGGGGTGTTGTCCTTATGACCAATATTAGCGAGCCACCAAGTTCGTTGAAAACTCGTTGTCTGACCCCTGAAACAAATATCACAGTCGCTTAGTACCAACTGGCCAGTGCCCGCACCACAGGCGCCGACGCCGAAATGCCTTAAGCCACCGAATTCATTGAAGTCGTGTCCCCAGGGGTGTCTGGACTCGCTGCAAATTGTAGGTAGTTGGTCTGGATTGGATAGAATTTCATAAACTTTTATTT